TATAGAATCATAGAAGCTAAAAGATGGAATAAACTATCCAGTCCAAAACATCCAGACCAAGAATCCTTTACAACTAACCTGAATGGTCATCCAGCCTCTTCTTGGAGACATCTGGCAAAGGAGACAACCCATTTCTCTTTTTGACAACCATGATTGTTAGGAAGTTTTTCTTTCTCTCAGGCTTCAATCTGCATCTATGTATGCAGTTTTTAATTAGTGCTACTGGTTCTGCTAATAGTAAGCAAATGGAACATGACAAATTCCTCCTCCATAGGATAGGTCTTCATATATCTGAAGAATGCTATCATGTCTTCTCTTTGCTAACTTGACTAACTCTTCTCTTTTCCAGGCTAAATATCTACAGTTCCTTCAACTGATCCATATGTGTGTGTGTGTGTGTGTGTGTATATATATATATGTATGTATGTATGTATGTATGTATGTATGTATGTCCAGTCACCATTGAGTAAATCAACCAAACTACCCACCCCACTTAAAGTATGTGGTAAGATGCTAAGCTCTGATACTTTTATTGGGTAAGAACATGATTTAATTGTTCACTAGACATGAACAATTGTCTATCTGGTGGTGGGAGAGAGGGCCTCCTTTGAGAAGGAATTATTTGGTCTTGGTCTAGGACTCTTTTCCACTATGATCAGAAGAAGACCCTAAGAACTTTGAAGCATCAGGAGGGCATAACTTAGTTCCTTGGCCAATTGGAACAGACTTCCTTTGGCATCTAGAGGAAGGGCCCAGGACTTATTCACACTTGGTGAATTACGAAGATGTGTTCTCATCTGATAAATATATCAGGGCATAGCATTTTATCACATACTGTAAGTGGGGTAATTGTCTAAACAGACCCTCATCCTTTTACAATAGCATACTGAAATGGAAAAAAAAAGTGAAATGGAAAAAGTGGCTGAAATACAACATTGTACAAAGGAAGGAAAGATGGATTTGGAATCAGAGGACTTTGGTTGGAATCCTGGCTCTTGAATTAATTAGCTTTTTGACCTTGGGTAAGTCACTTCCTCTTTGTGGACTTTAGTTTCCTCATCTATAAAATAAGGAGGTTGGACTAGGTGATCTCAAGATCCCTTTAGCACTAAGTCTATGATCCTGAGGTTGACATGAATTGCTTTACACCCAACTTAATATTATTTTCTCCCAGATGTCCTTTATTATGTAGGGCCCAATATAACTAGAATGTAACTTATGAACATTAATTTCCAATAAATGTTGCATAATTATGACTATAGATAAATTACAATGACTGTACAGAAGATACCACAGAGGACTGAAACGCTTCCTACTCTTGGCCATCCATATGTTTGGCATGTAATTCCTTCCTTCCCTATAGCCTGCAGTCACCCTTCTCTCCCATTAATGCAGCAGCCTAGAAAGATAGTGGGGGAAGGGCAGCTGAAATTCAAGGCAGGTATTGTACCATCTTTGCCCAAGGAGAAAGGAGAATGAGAAAACAGGGAAGACAAGTCATGTTCCTTCCTAGAAAGAACTTGGAGTTTCAGATACTTAATTTGAAAAGACAGTGCAAGATTAATCAATTCATTATATTAATTATAAGGCTGAGGCCAGATTGTACCCTTGATTCAAAGGAACGCATTTCTTGGAATGGAGGTACTATGGATAACATAACAATACCTGGGTTTGGTGCCTTCCTCAAGTTGGCACTTTGGTACTCTTATTACCTGCCATAGGCAATGGTGGTTGTTTAGGGGGAGTATGTTCTGCCCTTTTGCCCACAATGGCAATGGCACATTCTTTTCCTGATTCCATGATTGAATGCACTGGAAGACCTAATACATTAAATATCAAAATAATTGTGTCATTAGTTTATATGGTGCTTATGTGGAATAGGCATTGGACCAGTGATCACAAGATCTGTGTTTTAGTCCCAGGGCTGTCACTTGGGGACCTTAGGCAATGTCTTCAAGCATCAGTTTTGTTATCTATAACAGCGCTTCTTAAACTGTGGGATATGAGGTGGAGACCCACAGTTTAAGAAGCACTGAAGGGGTCGAGAGCAGAAAAAGTTTAAGAAGCTCTGATCTATAAGATGCCTTGCCTAACCTGACAGTATTGTTACATGGAGATAATAGTATAATGTTTATAAAAATACTTTGTACAAAAACATGCAAATGTGAGCAATAGTAGGTGCCATTTGCTGAATTGAATTGTATTATTATTATTGAGTAGTAATCAGGCTCTGCTAATGTGCTAGTGGAACTATGCCAGTTTTTTTAAAGCACCCCAAAATTCACCCTTAATTCTTAATTGGATACAAAAATGTAATTTTACTCTTAAGATTTGATTTTCTGGTACAGTGGAGAGAGACTGGACTTGAAGATAGGAAGACCTGGGTTTAATTGTATCTCAGACACGTACCCAGGTTTGACCCAGGTTAAGCCACTGAACCTCGCTCAGACTCAACTTCCTCATCATTTGTCAAATGGGGATAATAATAGCACCTATTACAGGGTTGTGGTGAGGATGAAATGAGAAACTATGTGTAAAGCCTTGCCCTTCTTTGGAGATTGTCCTGGTGTCAGATTAGGTCATTTTTAGTTATCTAGCTTTTTTGTAGGGTTTTGGGAGGGCAGGGAAGGGAGAGTGCTGTCAGTTTTAATTATTCATATAATTGTTTAACTTTTTACTTGCCTTTCCCTGGTAAAGTCACGGGCCCTAGAAAAAGTACTATTACAACACCCTGAGTAATTACATTACATAAGCAAACTTATCCGGATTGTTTGCAAATGGAAAGGTGTCACCTCTTCAATTAGGTTGGAGGTAGGGGTTTGTTCTCCTCTCCCACTTTCCCTTGCCCCAAACAGCACTGAGAGGTGAGCTTTGTATTAGTTTATTTGGAGACTCAGTTTTGACAGCATTCTGTTTCAGTGTTGGTAACTGGGACTCCAAAATTTTTTTCTTTTCATCCAGGTTTGGTGGCTGCATACAACCCTGAACTCTCTTTGAGAGTTGAGATTTATAGAGTCTTGTCTACACTAGCCATTCATTTTTTGACGTAGCTTGGTTTACCAGAACTTGAAACTCCATCCAGTTTGGTGATCTAGAAGAATAAAACTGGGTTAAAACGTCCAATTGACTGGTATAAACTAAAGGAGATCAACTTGAATTGCCTGTTTGCTCGTTTGTTTGTTTGTTTGAAGCAGAATCAGTTAGCTATACCATCACTTTATCGAGAGGCTAGTCTCCCTAATACAGATGAAGCCCAAGTCAGAAACAGCTTGAAAGATCAGGTGAGATTTAAGTCTTTCAAGCAGCTAAGTTTCTAAGAAAAGAATCAGGAAAAAGTATTATCTTTTTCTCATTACTCTGATGGGGAAAGGGAGCCTGTCGGAAGCTTTATACCGCGGAATAAACTTACGATCAGCTCTGGGAGTCATATTTTCTCTACCTTCAGTCTGTGAAGAGATTTAGCATTTATCTGATGAACTCGTTCGCGGACACATCTCAAATAAGTGTCAGCGCTTTGCAAACTTTAAAACATTGTATAAATATCAGTTATCATTGTTACGTTGGCATCCGAATTAATTCAAGTTGTGTGGGTGGGCACTGATTGCCTCAGGTTTAAATGAGGGGTTGAACCCAACGAAGGGGAATTCAGTGGACTGATTCACCTTTGGATTTCAGTGGTTGTGGGCTCTCTCCTTAGTCTGCTGCCCTCCCCAGGCACGGGTTATTCAAGAGCATCTGTGCGAAATGATGAAATGAAGTAATGCCCATGAAAGGGGAGACTAAGAAATAATCGCGAATGAGGGGCTGCAAAAGGAAGAATTCCGTTCTACTTAGGTTGCAGTCACCGTTAGGGACCCAATCTAAAGCTACTTCCTCCCCTAGATTTTGCACCCTCAGCGAGTTCCGAGGTCTACTCAGTCCCTCCCTGGTTCTTGCTTTGAACTTGAGTCCCTCTCCTTCCTCCTCGTCCTTCTTTTCTCTTCCCTTCCCTTCCCTTCCCTTCCCTTCCCTTCCCTTCCCTTCCCT